ACACATGTAGGGGATCGGAGTGTCACGTTCCGACACATGTAGGGGATCGGAGTGTCACGTTCCGACACATAGAATTAGGGGATCGGAGTGTCACGAACCGACACAAGAGGAGAAAAGATAATGAATCTTGAAAGATGTTAATATACTCAATCTAACGAACATGATTCCCAAATGAGTATGGTATTGGGGCTTGAGTCCTCATGTGTGAATTTGATGGTACTTATTGATGATTATAGTACTTGTTGTTGTTACATGTTGAGTTTTATAGTTGATTTATGATAATACTTGATATATATTGTTCCCTATTTTGAGTTGGCCGATGATATCTACTCAGTACCCGTGTTTGTACTGACCCCTACTTTTATTGTTTTCTTCTTGTTTAATTGTGGAATGCAGCAAACGTACCGTCATCTTCGACTCAACAGTAATTCAAGCCAGTCTTCGTCACACCGGATCTTCAGGGTGAGCTAACACTTCTAGCTTGAACTGGATCTCCTCCGTCACGTCTTGATGCCTTGAACCTCCGGCACGGACTAGCTTCTTATGTATTTTTAGCTTTTAGAATACTCTTAATTTAGTCATTTGATTGTAGATGTTCTTGTGGTGATGACTTCCAGATTCTGGGGATAATGATAAGTTTTTGAGTTATAGAAGTTGATTATTGATTTTTATTAATGAGTTTAAGTCTTCCGCATTACTTTTTGTTGTTATTACATTGAAATGTTAAGGTTAGGTTGGTTGGTTCGCTCACATAGGAGGGTAAGTGTGGGTGCCAGTCGCGGCTCGGATTTGGGTCGTGACAACAGCCCGGTTGAATCATGGATTTTGGATTCTGGTGCATCTTTCCATTCGTCTCCAAGCAAAGAGTTGTTTCAAAATTTCAAATCTGGAAATTTTGGAAAAGTATATCTTGCTGACAATAAAGCCTTAGAGATTGAAGGAAAGGGGGATGTTTGCATAAAGACCACCTTGGGAAACCAAGGGACATTGGAGGATATCAGATATATTCTTGGGATCAAGAAAAATCTGATCTTTGTTGGTCAGTTGGATAGCACGGGATATGCAGCAGAGTTTGGGAAAGGTTCGTGGAAGATCGTGAAAGGTGCTATGGTAGTAGCTCGTGACACCAAATCTGGAACCTTGTACACCAATGTAGGGTGTATAAATATGGTTGTTGTTGCTGAAGGTGCTTCTTGTTCATGTCTGTGGCATAACAGACTTGGACACATGAGTACTAAAGGAATGAAGATGCTGGTTGCAAAAGGAGCATTAGAGGGTCTGAAGTCTGTTGATATAGGTCTTTGCGAGAGTTGTGTTATGGGCAAACAGAAAAGAGTAAGCTTCACAAAGACTCCTAGAGAGCCAAAGAAAGTGCGGTTGGAAATGGTCCATACAGATGTTTGGGGACCATCTCCAGTATCATCACTTGGAGGATCCAGATTCTATGTTACCTTCATTAATGATTTCAGCAGGAAGGTATGGGTTTACTTCTTGAAGCATAAGTCAGATGTGTTTGCAACTTTCAAAAAGTGAAAAGCTGAAGTTGAGAATCAGACCGGTTTGAAATTCAAATTCCTAAGATCTGACAATGGAAGAGAGTATGATAAATCAGAGATCAAGGAATTCTGTGTAGCTGAGGGAATCAGATTGATGAGAACAGTTCCTGGTAAGGCAAGGTAGAATGGAATTGCTGAGAGGATGAACAGAACATTGAATGAGAGTACAAGGAGTATGAGGATACACTGTGGGCTGCCCAAAACACTTTGGGCCGATACTGTGAGCACAACTGCATACTTGATCAACAGGGGACCATCAGTTCCTTTAGGGTTCAAGATTCCAGAGGAGGTGTGTACAGGAAAAGAACTCAAGTACTCACACTTGAGGACTTTTGGTTGCACTGCTTATGTTCATGTTGATCCAGAAAAGAGAGACAAGCTTGATGCCAAGGCTGTGAAGTGATACTTCATAGGCTATGGTTCTGATTTGTTTGGTTACATGTTTTGGGATGACAAGAACAAAAAGATCCTGAGACATTGTGACGTGACATTTGATGAGTCTGTCCTGTACAAGGACAGAGAGCAGAAGGTTCTAGAGATTACAATGCAAGTGGGAGTTGAGGTTGAGTTGGAGAAGAGTAACCCCAGAGATGTCGAAGCAAATACTCAACCAACTCGTACTGAAGAATCTGAAGTGGAGCAAGTTACACCTGAGCAGGTGTTAAGGAGATCATCCAGATCCACCAGGGCACCAGATAGGTATTCACATTCATTACACTATTTATTGCTGACTGATGAGGGGGAAGCATAGTCTTTTGATGAGGCCCTACAGGTGTATGATTCGATCAAGTGGGAGCAAGCCATGGATGATGAGGCCACTTGAGAAAAACGACACATGGGTGTGACTGAGTTACCTGCAGGGAAGAGAGCTTTGCTGAACAAGTGGGTGTTCAGAATCAAGACTGAACCAGATGGCAAAAGAAGGTTCAAGGCTCGTTTAGTGGTTAAAGGATATTCACAAAGGAAAGGTATTGATTATGCTGAAATATTCTCTCCTGTTGTGAAGTTAACCTCTATTCGAATTCTGTTGAGTGTTGTTGCATCGGAGAATTTGCATCTAGAGCAAATGGATGTAAAAACAGCATTTTTACATGGAGATCTGGACAAAGAGATCTATATGCAGCAACCAGAAGGATTTGTGGTTCCAGGCAAGGAACACATGGTGTACAAGCTCACCAGGAGCTTGTATGGACTAAAGCAAGCACCAAGGCAGTGGTACAAGAAGTTTGACACCTTCATGACCAAGAGTGGATTCTGCAAAGCTGAAAAGGATCCTTGTTGTTACTTCAAGAAATACACTGATTCATATGTCTTTCTACTCTTGTATGTGGATGATATGTTGATTGCAAGATCTAGTATAAGGGAGATTAACAATCTGAAGACAAGGTTGTCTGCAGCATTTGAGATGAAAGATTTGGGTCCAGCGAAGCAGATTTTGGGGATGAAGATTTCTCGGGATAGATCTGTTGGCACTTTAAGTCTATCTCAGGAGTTGTACATTGAGAAGGTGCTGAGCAGATTCAGGGTTAATGATGCTAAACCCAGGACTACTCCATTGGCAAATCACTTTAAATTGTCAAAGGAGCAGCCACCCAAGACTGCCGAGGAGCGTGATCACATGACACTTGTTCCATATGCTTCAGCAATTGGTAGTTTGATGTATGCTATGGTCTGCACTAGACCTGATATAGCACATGCAGTGGGAGTTGTTAGCAGGTACATGGCGAACCCTGGAAAGAGCATTGGGAAGCTGTGAAGTGGCTTCTGAGATATCTGAGAGGTACATCCAGTACTTCACTTTGTTTTGGCAAAGGCAAGGTGACTCTACAGGGTTTTGTGAATGCTGATCTTGGTGGGGATGTTGACTCGAGCAAGAGTACATCCGGGTACATTTACACCATAGGTAGAATAGTAGTGAGTTGGATGTCTAGGCTTCAGAAGTGTGTTTCTCTTTCATCTATTGAAGCTGAGTATGTGGCAATAGTTGAAGCTGGGAAAGAGATGATATGGCTGGCAGATTATATTGAGGAATTGGGCAAGAAGCAGAGCGATAAAATTTTTTACTCAGATAGCCAGAGTGCCATACAGTTGGTGAAAAATCCAGTCTATCATTTTAAGACAAAGCACATCAGAAGGCGATACCATTTCACTCGCAGGGCAGTGGAGGATGGTGATATGTGCTTGGAGAAGATAGAGGGTGCAAAGAACCCGACAGACATGTTGACGAAATGTGTTGATGTTGGGAAACTGAGGTTATGTAAAACCTCGGTTGGTCTTCTGTAGTTGTTGCTACAGATGTTGCGGTGCGGTAAAGATGTTGATGATGAAGAGATTTTTTTTGAGAATGTATTTTTTGGATGACTGAGTCAGTCTCCAAGTGGGAGAATTATTAGGTAGTGGAGCCTGATTAATTTTAGGTTTTCCTATTTATTCTCTATTTTAGGCTTTTCTATTTATTCCCTATTTTAGGTTTTCCTATTAATTCTCTGTAACAAAAAATACTCTGATTCATTAATATAAATATACATCATCGCCGTTGAAGTTTACTCACGGGGTGTTACCATGAAATATTGGATTTTCTCTCTCTCTCTCTCTCTAGATTTCTCATCTCTTTCTCTTGAAAGTTCTTGTGTTCTTCATTCATCTAGTGTGTGTGCGTGAATTCGATCCTAACACATATATGAGCCACTTTTATAACGAGGGGTATATCAGCTCCAAATGACAAAGTTAAGGGGCATATCAGACCCTTTTCCCTTGATAAAACATTTCAATCAAGTAAAATATATAAACGACCAAAATGAACACCTTTTATTATACATTAAGGATCATTTCAATCTTATGAAATACATTAAAAACCAAAATGAAGCATTATCTATATACTATGGAACATTTGGTTCATTTTCTCGTTCTTGTTTGGATGGTTGTTACCTGTTGGTTGATATGGTGTTGTTATTTTAAACATTATGTTATTGTATCTAGGGGCAGACCCAAGTAGGTTTCAGGAGGTTCATTCGAATTATTTATGTGGACATATATATTTTGAACCCCTCAATGACAAAGAGAATCTCATAGCGTAGCAGTAGGTCCCGTTGAAATCGAACTCCTCATCGATGATTTGAATTATGGTAAGAAAACAATCTTTTTTATATTTTATATATATAGTTATTGTAGTCTATATATAAAAATAGTTGAACTATTTATGCTTTTTAATAGTAACTATATTCCATACCTTATTTTGTCATTTTGTATTATTGATGGATAAAATTATGTAGCAATGATAGGCAATACAATTAATTCAAAAAATTGAATTCATTAAAGACAAATGAGTACCTAAACATTTTGAATGTTATGATCCTTTGAAAAGATAGTATTGATGAGACTGCAGGAAACAAAAATCAACCGTCGACTAAACGGAAATTGGAATAAGAAAAACAGTATAGATAATTTCTAAAGTAAATTCATTTAATAAGGAAAAAGTTTACATAGGATAAGGAGAAAATTACACAAAGATTGAACCATAACTTTCTCCACAACTAGTAAATTACACCAAAAATTTACATTAATTTAACATACCATCCGACAAACTTTATTACTAAAACAACAAACTGAAAAGACAAAAAGTCTTCAAGCAACGCAGTATGGCCAAAACTCTTCCTCCCCTATTGCACATTCTGCGCCAACACCAACAATATTCTCATCATTGCAATAGTAATACCCAGAAAAACAGCAGGATGAATGTGGTGCAAGATATGGCATGTTGTGGAACGACTGATTTAGGCTATTGGCCAATGAGACTTCTACTTCTTCTTCCTTGTGCACGAATTCCTCTGCACGGTGCTTGAGGGTCTCGAACATGAGTTCAGGCTCGTGTTGCATTGCTCGGAGGACGTCAGCACAGGAAGGCCCAGGGACTGCATAGGTTACAGCGAAGCTGTGAGGGCTGTCGCTCTGTGACACACGCAGGACGCTTGGTCCGCCAAATAGGTTATGGAGTCCGCCGAGGGCTTCCTCATATGCCCCGCCTCAAAAAATTCCCAGATAATAAGGTGCGCTGTTTCCACTTCCCCTATAAGGGAGAGCCAAGCTTGACTCGCCTCCGATGAATTATCGATCTTCCATCACGCACATGTCAAGTCGGATAGAATTCCCCGAGCTGAAGGATGTTCGTCTAGCTTGTGGATGGGAACAATCGGGAATAGTTGGTCGATTGCCCAGAAATCAGGAATTGAAGTGAAAACGGACAGATTCACATGATAGGTGCGAACAGGGTCAGAAGCACCAATAGCTTTTGACACAAAGTCACAGACGGCATCTACGGCAGCAAGCTGTTCAATGTCCAGATTACCATCTTTGAACTGATCCACACACCTCTGTTTCAACTGATCGGCATAAAGCATACAGGTATCGTACTCTCCGCGAATAGCAGCAGCAGATAGATTCCGGTAATCGCCACGAGCGTCATCATTGAGTTTCTCCACGAAGGAGTGGAGACTCATAGAGGACAGCTCTTGAGAACGCGTGGTAGTTGAAGACACAGCTTCAAATATCAGAACAGAGTGATGAGATACAATTGCTCTGCCACTTTCGCTACAGATCACCGGATGCTTCACGTTCTTCCGGTCACAAACAAACCGGACAGCTTGAACCACTGTAGAGGCGTAATCCTGAAGGCCATATCCGACGGAAACATCAGAATCGGAAGATTTGGTACCATCATAATCAATTCCAAGCCCACCACCAATATCAATGAATTTCATGCCAGCACCAAGGCGGACTAACTCAGAATAAACCTGAGCAGCCTCACCAACACCATCAGCAAGCAACTCCGTTGAAGGGATCTGAGATCCAATGTGGAAATGCAGCAGCTGAAGACAATCTAACATTCCGGATTCTTTCAGTTTCCTCACCACACGAAGGATCTGAGTTGTTGTAAGCCCAAACTTGCCTTTCTCTCCAGAAGTGGATCCAAAATGACCGGAATGTTTGGTCCTAAGCTTAGCCCGGAGCCCAATTACAGGCTGGACCGCCATTTTACGGCTGATGTCAATCACCAAATCAAGCTCCTCCTCTTGTTCGAGCACAATCACCGTGTTCAATTGGAGCTTTCTTGCAACCAAAGCAAGTGAAATGTATTCTGCATCCTTGAATCCGTTGCATACAAGAAGACCCTCCGAGCTGCCCTTGCATAGAGAGCTCATGGCCAGGAGGAGCTCAGGTTTTGACCCAGCTTCAAGACCAAACCGGAAACCCGTCCCGAATTTGACAATATCTTCAACAACGAACCTGTCCTGATTGCATTTTACAGGATAAACACCTTGGTAATGAGCCTCATATCCTTCAGATTGAACAGCATAATCAAAAGCCGATTGAAGAGACTCCAATCGGTTCTTCAAAACATCAGGAAACCGAACAACGAGTGGAAGCTGTAACCCGAGCCCACCAGAATTAATCGGGTCGGAAGCCTTTTTCACGACCTTCAGGAGATCAATTTCTTGGTGAGGAAGGGTATCTGTACCATGGGGCCTGACAGATATATCACCGGAAGAATTAACGGTGAAATACGGAGCACCCCAACCATCAATACGATACAGATCAGATGACAGCTCCGGTGACCAATGGGTGGTAAGAGGGACAGCGTTTGTCGACGGAGGTACGCCGGAGGAAAAAATCTCCGGCGTGGAAAGGAAGGAATAGCCAAGAGGAGGGGAAACAGCAGATTCTACACAACAACCTAAAGCAGGCATCTCGTAAAATCTTCACAAAAAAAAAAGAATCAAAGAATGTGTAAAACTAATTATACAGAAATGATTTGTTGACCAATGTTGTAATAGCTGGGGGCTTTAGAACCCGCCGAGGCCAGAGCCCCGGCTACCCCCTCAAAAGAAGCAAAAAAAGAACTTAATCAAAAGATAATCACCTTCTAACACACTCTTACACGACCCGAATATCCCCACAACGACTTCAGAAGAAGCAAAATTTTCTAAATCAAAACAAAGAATTAAAACTCAAAACCAACAGAAACACAAACCTAAGATTCAAACAAACACCCCACCATACAACTTTTAACCGGAATAGTTCACCGGAGAAGAAGAAAATTGGTCGGAAACCTAAACGGTAACCGGAAAAAAGAGATGGTAGAGTTCCGTTTAGGAAAACTGTAAACAACTGCGAAATGAGCAAGATTTGCATGGGAGGGTTCCGTTCGTTTTATAATGGATAGATTGGGCCGGGTCATGGGCTTGGATTGGGCCTTATCTAACAAAGTCGGGTTGCCGCGTGGCGTTGGACATCGCGAGAAGATAAGAGGGTATATAATTATTTCTCTGCTCAACTTTATTTGTCCGATGCTTGATTTTACTATATTTTTTTGGTTCTCTAGTGAGTTAATTTGACTCGTCTTTGAAAAAGAAAAAAAAATTAAGACTTATAGTCTAAAATAATGAATAAAAATTTGTTTGGTTATAAATTATTTTATTAAAAAAATAATAATAAATAGATGAGTAATTTTTAATTTTATTTTAGTAATTAAATAATTAGTTTTAATATATTTAACAAATAAAAATAGATAAAGAAAAAAATTACATGAGTGCTTACCGAATGGAGTAAGGTGCTTCGAAGGTTCCCATGGTTTGGGATTTTTATTAGAAACCAACGGTCATGATTGTTCCAAGTCATCGATCCTTATCTTTGATTCCATTTGGTGTTTGAATTTTGATGATTCTGTGTTTGTTTGGGGGAGGCATTATTATCACTTTCAATCAACCACACGGATTTTACTAGTTTGTACGTTTGATTAATTTATTTGATATTATTTAAATTTTGATAAATATATATTTGGAGGAGAAATATTTTTTTATAAATTTATATTTTTTATTTCAATTCATATGAATTAGTTTGATTTGGTATGAAATTTTAAAGAAATTTTTTAAATATTTTATTATCTAAAATAAGTTATAAAAATATTTATGAAACTTATAAATTATTGTAATAAAAGATAAAATAAATATTTAAAATATTACTGATAAATATAAATTGTGTTAAATAATTCTTAAACGGACAAAAATACTAGCCATATAAATTAAAATAGAAAATATAATAATTAATAACTTAAAATATTTATAAAAAATTAAAATTATAAGATAAAATTATCTATTTCAAAAAATAGTAAAGTATCACATAAATTAAGTGGATTGATAGATAAGATATGCAGAGAATAAAATCGATATATTACCGTGAAATAAAAATATATAACGATTTTTAGTTCATACTCTTTTGAAATCGCCGAAAAGGCATGTGATCGGATGATAACACTTTTAACTTTTGTTCTTATTAGATACTCTCTTGTTTATTTTTTTTAAGTTGTCTTTAATTATTTATTTATTTTGATAAATTAAGAAAATACAATTTTTTATTTATTATATTTTAAAGAATTATTTTTTAAATATAATTTTTTAGAAAATTTAAGTTTTTAATTTATTCATTTTATAATTAATAAGAGTAAAATTATAAATTTATTATATCAATATTATTTTCATAATAGATTGAATGATTCAATTCAAAAGTGAACAAATAATTAGAGAAAAAAATATTATTCGAGTTTGACTAATTTAAATTTGTAAAATTTTTATTACAAAGAACAACTTTTATTAGGGTTCACTCTTAATAAGAGTTACAAGTGTTTGATTAATTAAAGAACAACTTTCACAAATATCAAATATAAAAATTATATTTGTATGTTATAGTTATAGTTTGCATAGTTGCGTTTCATAATAAATTTTATATTTGCTATAAAACTTCTGATATGTATAATTCGCCACAAACATCCAATTTTATACAAATTATTTAGTTTTGTATAAATTCATTTATACATTGTAATTTGTATAATAAGATCTGTATTTGTATAATTATAAGTGTATAAGACGAAAATATATGTTTTTGTATTTGTATATACCTTTTCTCTCGCTTTATACGAATACAAACACATTTTATACATTTTATATTGAAATGTATAAAATGACTAATTGTATACCAGAAAATTGCTAATTTTATATCGAATCAAATGGAAAAAATAAGAAATGTTTGCCGCAAAATTACAATCAAAATAAATGTGGCTATATCATTTAATTTGAATAAATAATTTGTTATTTCATACAATTTCTCCTTAAAAGAACATCAAATGTTTTTTTTTGGTTTCATGTTTTTTTGAAAAAATATTATTACGGATATTAATTTGTATTTAAATATTTCTTTAGTCTTATTAAAATATTTAACAAAAGATAATAATGAAATCACATAAAATAAAAAATATCACAATGAAAATGCTCATAACTATAAAGTACTTGCTAAAATAAGTTTAATAAGTATTAATTGCATGACTAAATCAAAGAAAAACTTAAATTATATTATGTATTTTAATTGTTCAAATTCCAAGTTCATTTTAAAAAAAATAAAGAACAAATATTCAATATTGTTATCATTTTTAATAAACATAATACGTAAATGTCTTTTAATTTGGTCTCATTTCACATTTATATTCTCCAACTTTAAATGTGCACAAGTAGACATTTAAACTTATATGAAATTAAACAAATAACCACACACGTCTTACTTGACATTCCACATGACAATTTGTATCTTACGTGATTTCATACATGTATTATGCTAAATAGGACTCATTGTTTATTTATTCAATTTTATATAAGTTTTATGTTCTACTTGTACATAACAAAAGTTGGAGGGTATAGGTGTAAAATACGATCAAATTAAATGATATATTCAGATATTATGCCTTCTAAATATAGAATCAATATCTTTATGTTAGTATTAGTATTGATAATTTGATCTGATTTTGATTTAAGCTTTATTAGAACTAATACGTATATGAACTATAACCTTAGTATAATACAAAGTTTTAATAGAGTCGTCAATATGAGCTAGGCTTGTTGGGTCGGCTTGGCCTAACCCGGAATTTAATTGAGTTGGCTAAGATTTTTGGAGCTCATTTAAGAAATGGTTTTTTAGCCCGGCCTGTATAAGTCTGCTGATTTGTGGGGCTTGAGAAATATCGGTAGGGCCGGCCTGTAATAAAAATTAATTAAAAATATAATATAATATTAAAGAGAGTTCAAACTCAAAACAATTAGCTTAATATTTCTATTAGATATTTATACTTTACTTGAAAAAAATTTAATCAATATTATAAAGATAATTTTATTTGTGAATTTGATTAACAAATAGTAACATTCCTCATTTGTTTCCATTAAGATTAAAACGTTTAAATCTTAATACACGTCTGAATATTAAGATAAGCATTAAGTTCTAGATGTGTAATTCTGAATAAACATCTGAATATTAAGATGTCTCTAAATCTGAACACTGAATTATTGGGATGGTTTGTTTTCAATATCTGAATACACATATGAAATTAAACGATATATCGATAAAATATTATAAAATCTAGTTAGTAAAATAGTTTTTTTTTCATATAAAATAATATTTTCAACATTTTTACCGTAACAAGGTAATATGATTTATCTTTTAAGAATTTAATATCAAGTTACATCATTAATATGACTATTTTTGCACTCAAATACTTTGAGAATCTAATATAATGCAATGTAAAATAATTTATATAGAGTAGTAAATATATTGTTTAGGAAAGTATTTTTATTTTATAATAGACATTTATTATTGTTATCGATCAAATAACCAATACTTTCTTATTTTTTGAAACCGTATTAAATATTATATCATGGGAGTGCTTATCAATTCAACTATATTGATTAACTTATGAAAGTAAAAGATTTATATTAACTTAATATGAATAAAGAAAATTATAATAGTAAGCATGTAATAAACATTATTTAAATAAAAAAAACAACTTTTATGAGTTGTGTAATTTAATTGAATTAAGATGAAACTTTTATTTTTGAATCTGAATAGTGTTAAGAGTATGTTACAGATCCGATTTATTCAGATATATTCAAACCCATTAAGAGGCTTAAAAGAAAATAAAACAAACGAACTTAATGAACTAAATCTGAATAATTAAGATTCAGTTCTTAAAAACATCACACTTAATGAGGCAAATTTGAATGATTAAGATTCAGACCTCCATTAAATGCAAACAAATGAGGCCTAACATCATGTAATATTGACTTGTTGATATTTATGATCATATTTTAAAATTATAATTTATAATTTAATTTAATAATTATAAAAAAATATAATTTTTTAAAAAGTTGGCTGACCCGGCAAGTCTGTAGCCCACATACTTGTGGGTTAGGCCGATCATTTTTTGACCCGCACAAAAAATGGGCTAGCCTGACCTGACCCGTAAAATGTTAAAGCCTATATAAATTAGCCCGGAGTGGGGTGAACTGGCTCATATTGACAGCTCTAGTTTTAAGTTAAATTTAAAATAACATGTTAAGAAATTTATAAAAATTGTGAATAAGTATAAGAAAATATTTATAAATTATAACAAAATAAATATTTTATGTGTTAAATTAATTTTAAGAATTATTATAATTTATACAATATTAACAATAAATTTTAATGTAATTTTAAATTTAGATATAATAAAATATGATAATTTATCTAACAACTCCAAATGTTTATAAAAGAAAAAAATAAAAAATATTTAATCCTCGAAGTATGTAAAATATGGCATAAATTGAATATAGGGATACGTAAATGCAGGGATATCAAATCGCTGTGGACCTGTGAAATATTTAACTATTTTTTGTTCATATGATTGAAATTCCGCCGAATAAGCACTGATAATAAGAGAAAATAAAATAATTAAAAAGGGAATTAAATCACTGGACTTGGAAAGACTTTTTTTTTTTTAATTTTTTTAAAAGAAAAATTTTTCGAAGTCCCAATTAAAAGTCTGAAAACTTTTCCTTCACAAAATAAAAAATAAAAAATAAAATAAATTAAATAATCTAAGAAATAAATAATTAATATGAAATAGATAATTAAAATGTCTTAAGATGACTAGACAATATTAATTTTTTTAAAAAAAATATTAGACAATTAAAAATGAACGATTCACTCTAATCCATATTAACTAGATTTTTGAAGCTTTTTCATTAAGTGAATAATTTAAAGTTCAAAATAAAAATTGAGATTTTTCATTTTATTTTTGCCTTTTATTTATATTGTCTAGGTGAC